CCCCCCCCCCCTCTCTCTCTCTCTCTCTCTCGATATACTTCACTGATTGATTCGGCGCTCTCCCTCTCTCTCGCAGACGCACCCACCCTAGATACGTCCGGTACACAGCACAATGCGATTTAGATACACAACACTCACACACTCAGGAATGCCAGGCAGCGAAGAACAGCAGCAGGGAGGCAGGGAAAGAGCAAGCGAGAAGGGAAAAAGAGGCAAGGAGTTCGGCAGCAAGGGGGTCGACCCGACACCTTCAAAACCACCCATCCACGAGACCGGTGCATGCGTGTACGCATGTTATCGACACATACAAGCCAGTAGTGTGAGTGGACGCGAATGAATGGATGGATGGATGCATCGGATGGCACCATCAGGCAGGCACGATCAAGCGAGAAGTGAGTCGGTGAGGAGAGCATGGATATGACGGCAATGGAATGGAATGTCGGGCAGTGGACAGGGTGAGACAGCGATACAGAACGGTAGAAAGATAAGTAGATGGGGATAGCATATGGCAACACAAACAATGTCTGTCAGTAGTGCGTTCAGAGCGCGCCGACGTAAAATAACGACGAGTCGGCCTTGCCTGCCTTGGGGCACTCACTGGCATCTCCTGCCTCGGTTAAATAAAGCATGAAATCTCAGTGGATGGATGGATGGATGCATGCATGGATGGATGGTCACCCACCCATCGACTGACTCATTCGACCAAAACCATGCGCACATGGATGCGCCTGGACGATAGATAGACGAAAAGCGTGCCGACGACACTACAAACGAAAAAGGCCTCGTAGATATACAGAGACCACACCCATCCCGTCCAGCCCCCCACCCCTCCCTCCCTCTCTCCCTCTCTCCCTCTCTCTCTCCCTCCCTCTCCCCCTTCGATCACTCCATATCTCGGTCGCTCTCGGCGCCCGCCGTGGTGCTCGAGTTGGCCATGAGCGAGCCACACCGCTGCAGCACAGGTGGCGACCACGGCATCATCACTGGTGGGTGGACCACATACCAATGGCCATGGTACGGCAAAGGAGTCTTGGGAGAGGGTGCCTGTGGCTGTGGGTGGGGATGTGGGTGTGTGGCGGGGGCAGGCTTTGGCTCGTCGTCGGGTTTGATGCGCAGGAAGGATGCGATCGAGTCGGTGACGAGGTCGTGGTAGTCGTCCGACGTGCGATCAGCCGAGGAGCCCGCAGAGAGGGGGTCGACGTGGACCGCCAGACCGCCCACAGACACGTCGTCGAAAGGATAGCTCTGGACGGACAACATGCACACGACACATTGGGCTTGCACATATTTATAGGGGGCTTCTTTCTTCTGTCTATGTCTTACACAGAGTAGCTGGTTTGTGTGGTCGGTAGCGAGTGGCTCCGCCGAGTCCCCCTGCGCGTCCATGTAGGACGGCGGCTGTGATGACTGTGACGATAACTCGCCTAGCACGTGCAGGGGCACGCTCGACGGCGACACACCGAGACGCTGCCAAACCAACAGAGAGACAAACACCAAGCACAGAGGTATGGACGATCCGCATTCGTGATCCATTCTCTGTCCATCTCCCATCATACGAACGTGCCTCGTTGATATGGGTATTTGTGCCATGTCCCGCTTCGGCGGTTGGAGCGGCAGCGTCCCGCATCGGCATGTCGTCATCGCTCCCACTGCTGACGGACGAGTCACCATCATCAGAGTCGCTGTCCTCACCCTCACTGTCGCTGTGCCTCTCGTACTCGGCCACATGGAAGGGATTTCGGTAGTAGAAGTGGAACTTGGCCAGCGTGTCAGGGATGGGCGGCTCGGGCGTCGTCGTGCCCTTCTTCTGAGGCTGCTTGGCGTTTTTGCCCGCTGCAGCTGATGCACTCCGCTGCTGCTGGTACGAGGGGAATGTGGGCGTGTCGATGGTCGATGGCCGCGAGAACGATATGCCCCCCTGGCTGGTCTTGACGGTGGTGGTGGGCAGCAGCGACACACACGGTGCCACACCCACGCCCACGCCCATACCAACACCCATGCTGACCGCTGACCCACGCGCTGGCACTGGGCCCTTCTTGAGCTGTGGCTTGACGAGCACCTCCTTCAGGCTGGCCTTGCGCGACGCAGACACATCGCATGTGGGTGGTCGTGCCGTCTCTGTCGGAGGATGGGATGGCGCGACCAGAGGGGGATGGGGGAAGGCGTCTGCGGGCACCGTGGGCGTGGTGACGCTCTCGGCATCTGGCTGGGGTGGCGGTTGCGGTGCGTCGGCCATTCCGGGTGGTGGTGGTGGTGGTGGTGGTGGCGTCTGGTCAGCCGCAGCACTGCTGGTGGTGTTGAGGGGCTCAGGGGCGGCATCGTGGTCGGCTCTGACGGCGGTGTCGGTGTTGTTGCGGTTGCGTTGCTTGCGCGACTTGATGTTGCGCCCCTCTCCCTTCTTGTCGCTGCTGTGCGTGCAAGCCCCCTTTTCAAGCTCGGCCCGCTTCTGCGTCAAGAAGTCGATCGCCTGCTGACGGGCCTCCTGCACACCACACAACGACCGCACAGGTGTGAGTGAGAATCTCGTACGTTTCATAGATATGACTGACCTCGAATCCGCCCTTGGCAGAGAAGGTCTTGCTCTTGCGCGTGCCTCTCTCGCTCCAGAAGCTCAGCCACGCCTGCATCCTCTTGTTCCACGACACGCCCTTGCAGCCGCTCTTGATGGATCCGCTCCCGCGGGCCGCCGAGCGGTCCTCCTCACTCACCACACACGAAGAACTGCCACCGCCGTCACTTGCGCGCGGACTGCCCCTTGAAGCCCTTGTGGTCCTCACCCTCCCTCTCTTGCCGGTGGCTCTGGTGCGAGTGTCAGGCGAACAGCGGGGCAGCTTGCGTGACTTGCGGGGGGTGCTGACGGGCGATATCCGGCTGCTGAGGGGCAGGTACTCCTCCGAGCTGTCCGAGTGTTCCCCACCGCCATCGTCATCGCCACGACCGCAGACAGGTGTGGTCAGCACGGGCGGCGGGGTTTGTGTGTGGTCTGAGGAGCCTGTGGTGCTGCCACATGACGACAGGGCCAGTGTCCGCGGGCGCTTCTTGTGTTGGTGTTGGTGAAGGTGGCCATCGGAGGAACAGTCGCCCGACGTGCGCTTCTTGAAGGCCAGCGAGGCAGCACGCTGCACACGGATGCACACACAAACAAGCAAAGATCCGTTGTGCAGACCAGAGAACGATGTGCCTGTTGCACTCTTGTCTGTCCCGTGTTTCTGAGTTACTTGCTCTCTCCCTACCGATTCCGCCTGCTGCTGGGCGGCCGTCGCTCTCCGTCGGCACTCCAGAGCCTTCTCCCTCGCCGCAGCAACTGCACAACACAAACCACGCGCACAGACCGGTCAGTCAGAGATCTCAGCTGGCTTCGTGATAGCGAGCGCGCGAGCGTCGATCCTGTGCATGGCCTTGCATGGCCTTCTCCCCCTCCACTTCTCTGCTTACCCTCACTGTCGCGGATCTCCTCTGCTGACGCCATATCTCACCCAGGACGCCGCGAGAAACGGAATCCAGACAGACAGACAAATCCGGGGGACGTCCCGCTGGACCCGCCTCGCCGTCCCGGTGCGAGAGAAGCCGGTGAGTATGTTTCAGCAGGCCGCCTAGGATGCTCCCCGAAACCGCTCCTGAACGTTGGTTAGGAAAGCTGTGAAACGCCACATGTCTTAGGCGTGAGGGAATACGAACCGTCAAAGAAATCAACGCGCCCCAACAAGTGGAGAACCAAGGGGGACAAGAAGCAGGAGGACAAGAAGCAGGAACCGTGAAGGAGAGACACCTCTGACTCGTTGCATCTGTTGTGACGAGGCTTAGTGAGACACGATCTGCATTCACGACACACACACGACATGCACATAGCACACAAGGCGGCCATGCACATGCAAAAAGAACCATACGTGGCCCTCTCGGGTTTGCAATCTGCTCACTCCCGCCTTAATGTATGTAGTCTGAGATTCTCTCATTTTTTATATTCTCTACATTCATTCTCTTCCCCATCAGCCGGAGACGGAAACACTTGGCAAAGACCAATGCAGCCACCAAAGTTGACACGACGACGCCTCGCGGTCAGTCTATGGATGAGCGCTTTTAAGGTTATTTGAGCTGTCCGATCTATCACTTGTCACTGTGCATCTCTCTGTCTCTCATTTCATTCCACCGTCTGTTCCACCGCATCGCTCGCTATCTGAAGACCGATTGGGAAAAAAGAAACGTCGCAACAGGCGCATCTCTGTCGCTTTGGCCGAGCTGTGAAGGCAGCTAGAGAGAGTGGATCCGCTGAAACTCCACCCCCAAGATGGGTGACACATCTGCAGCCAGCGATTGGCACACAAGGAATATTTCGTTTGCATCCATCCTTTCGCACCTGAGAGGCGGAACAGCACGGGCCCGACGAGTTCGAATCCTTGCAGTTCCACGAGGTGGACGAAACGGTCGAACAGCTTTCTCATGGAAGCATTCGACCAACAGATGTCCGTGTCGAGCCTCTTGTGGTGAATGCATCGCGTCCCCTCAGGCCTTGCCTCAGGCGGATACTGACAGTCGCATGTCTCGCCAGCGAATGCAGCCTTGTAACAAACACACACACACACACACATCGCAAACACACATCTGACCCCATCAATCAAGATGACACCCTGCGTGTCTCTATGAGTGTGAGACGATGTATCTGATTCAGTCAGTGTTCCCTCACACACGTACGTACAGGTATATTGTTGATGATGACTTTGCCGCCGATCGCCAGGAGAGACCGAATGTTTTGCCAGAGCGGGTCGACAATTTAGAGGTGTTGGTTCCGGTAGTCGATACGGAAGAACAGGTCATGGGTGCAGAAGACCAACAACACGCTCTTGAAATGGTTGAATGCGAGGCCGAGACTCTCATGAGCAGCAGCAATCTGCACACTCACATGAAGAGACACCGAGATATCGGTTGATCGAATGCCCTGCTAGATATTGTCTTTTTCTTTCTCCACCTGTTGGGTGTTCATGAGGTCGAGTTGCCAGTAGTGAGGTTTCGGTGAGTCCGGAAGGTCCGCCCAGGTGAACGGAGCCGACCCCGGGGCGTCCTCCTCGGAGTCCGGCTCCCCAAAAACTTCGGTGCCGACAGAGGTTGTGTGGTCTTTCCCCTCAAAGGTGGGGGTGTGCACGTCTTTGAGCTTCCGCGGCAGAACCGCATTGGAGAATTCCGAATCGATGAAGGCGTACTTGCTGGCGTACGTCTTCAGCCTACATACAGCCAAACAACCAGTGCAAGACGGCCTCGAGCACACAATGTCATGGCCAATCACACCATTGTGGGCGCCACAGCTCATCGACGAACGCAAATTTGCTGGCGTAGGTCGTCGACCTACATACACACACAGAGGGAACCAATGTCTCGTCGGTCAACGCAGCTCTAGAGCCAACCGTTGTGAGGGGCCCAGCTCCCCAGTGAAGGGCTTCGGCGGCGAGTTGGGGGGGGCCATGAATGGGAGAATGGCACCCTGCATGCATGTCATTGACGCGAGTGACACCAAGACGTACACCAAGACCGTGGCATTGCATGCATGCATTGTGAGCGACGTCCCGACGGCTTGAGGCTGGCGACTGTTGATTGCTGGCTCACCTACCTAGCAGCGTATGCGGGACGGGCAGCGTTGTGTTGTGAAGTCCGAGGAAGGCCTGGGAGTGGCCGGCATCACGCCCGGCATCGGCATGCTCACCCAAGGGAAGGCAGCTCAACAACGCAAGGACTACGCCGACGACGCGACGGAGCATTGTCCTCAGACTTTTTTATTCAGCGGGGGAAAGGCCCGACGGAAAGGCCCTTTGCGCGCTTTTGCCCGCCGTGAAACAGAGAACTGCCGGCCGTTTTTTCTTGCCGGTTCTCTTTCTTGGCGGGATTTCCCCAGTTGTCGTGTCAATGCTAGTGCGCACATCCCTTGACGTCAGCATTCGGATGAAGTAAAATTCTTCCACTACAGTACTCCGACTGTGTCTCACCTTGTTTCAGTATCCGAAGGCAAGGCGTCGAACTCATGCGGTGCGAGAGTTTCTCTCGTGCCGGGAGTTACAGGTGTGACTCAAACATGCGGGGGTGTCGCATTGCAGTCCGAGCACATATGCAAACAACAGGACACACCGATACATGATGATACAATTCATCGCTAGCGCTACACATGCAAGAATCGACGGTTGCTTCTAGCTTGCTGACTGCCTCAAGGAAGCTGCTGCCACTGTGCACCCATGACCGAGCTCGTCAACCACCCGTGTGTATTGTGATTATTAGTGCTCTGCACAGTCGACTGCGTGAGGCCCCGCATGACGGCCGCTTTCGGCCGCTCTCGCAGCCTTGTGACCTCCTCCTTGGACAGTCGACCCGCAAAGCTCCAACTACATGGAAACAACCAGCCAAACATCAATCGGGTGTGGCCGCTGACTGAGTGCCTGACGGACTGACCCGTGGATGAAGTTATCCCGGCCGGGGGAGAGCGGGACACTCGACGCACGGTGGGGCTGGCTCGGCTTGCCGATGGGGTGGGCAACCTGACGTGGTTTACCGACAGACAGGACGCATGCATGCATACGACTCTGGCCGGGATGTCAGCCAGTCGACCACCTCGCTTACCCGGTTGAATGGTCGTTTCCTCTCGCCCCCCAGCACCCCATGCTGGCCTCTGAGCAGTATGCTGATGTTGGACGGCTCACCACAAGGCATCTCATTGGGCGGCAGGATGGCCACAGAGCTGCTGTCCTTACGCATGGCCGCAAGCCCCTCCCAGTCGATGTCTGCGAAGAAGGGATGCTGCCGCACCTCTTGCGTGTCCATCGCACCCAGCCGACGCTGAGGGTCGCGGTCCAGCAGCTGGCTGATCAGGTCACGCGCATCCTGTCATTTGGCAACAACCAGAGAGACGCACATTCGATGACGGTATTCGATGTGTGTGAGTGTGTGTTGTTGTTGTCGTCTGCTTGCTTACGGGAGACACATGTGCCGGGAATGTCAGCTTCTGCGTCTCGATGTTCTTGAACAGCTGCTCTCCTGCATGACGGACGCATCAAGACAAGCAAGGAGTGCATGAGTGGCATATTTACACGGAGGCAGACAACGCAGGTGGGCTGCGCTCCCGAACAAATGACTTACGGTCGTAGCTGCAGACACACACAGACACATACGCTCTTCCAAATGAAAGCCATACATCGATGCTCTCTCTTTGTGCGTGTGACTGACCTGAAGTAGGGCGGTGTTCCGACGAGCATCTCGTAGAGGAGCACGCCCAGGCCGTACAGGTCGACGCTCTTGCCGTGGCCTCTCTTGCTCAACATCTCAGGGGCCAAATAGGCGACACTCTGCACCCAAGACCAGGGAAAGAGAGAATCTCAGCAGTGAGTCCCTCCCCCACTGTCGGATGATGTTCAGGGTTTCTCATTACCCCGCAGAATGAGGTGGCAGGTGCTGGGTACAGGTCTGACACGAGCTCCTTGCTCAGCCCAAAGTCAGTCAGAAGCGCGTGGCCTGACCGAGCCATCCATCCATCCATCCATCAGGAGACAGCAGGAAGGATAAGCATTGATCGACTCCCGCTGTTACGCCTCCCTCCCTCCCTCACCTCTATCGTCGAGCACCACGTTGTCGGGCTGCACAGGCAGACAGGCAGACAGTAGATGAGCAAGAATGGGAGGGTGGTGGGTCGGTGGCCACCTTGAGGTCTCTGAAGACGATGTTGCGCTCGTGCAGGTACTCAAGAGCAGTCAGGATCTCAGCTATCGCAATACAGAACACATAACAGCACAACACGCGGACGAACGTCCTTGTTTTTGGGGGCGCCATTGTCCAGGCAGGTCTGCCTACCTGTGTAGAGCTTGGCGAGGGACTGCTTGAGCCGTTTGTGTCTCGAAATGAGCTGCTGCAGGTTGCCGCGAGAACAGTACTCCAGCAGCAGCACCAGATGATCCTGATCATGCATATGAGAGAAGGAATGAATAGCTTCCGTCGTATTGTGTAGCCTCTCGTGCACTCACCGAAGTCTGGAACGCGCCGGCGAGCTCGACAATGTGTGGGTGCCGAATGTATGACAGAATGTTCCTCTCTGTCAACGCATACCGAACCAAACTCCGACCTGACGTGACATGAGATGAGAAGAGCTAATCTCAGCACCGACCCGCGAGATCTCACTGCCTGCCTTCCCAATACCGATTATTTTTCGCTTTTCGAGTATCTTCATGGCGTAGCAGACGCCAGTGGACTTGTGCGTCACCTTGTACACCGATCCGAAACTGCCCTGCGGAAACAAAAGGACGAGGGATTGCAGTGTGGATGGTCTGCACGATGGAGGCTTGCACACGCACCTTGCCGAGCAGCGGCCCGATGTCGAATAAATTGGGTCCGATCATCTCGTCAATGCCATTCACGGGCTCGGATGGCGCGAAGTCTGTGCGACTCATGCCGGAATCGAGACGACCCAGGTAGTGGAACATCCTGCCTGCACACACAAATGAATCCCGCAACACAGAGGTGTGCATCATCCTTGCCGTTCGTGTGTGCGCTGTGTGGATAGAGTACCGCCAGCAGTGGCGTGTCTGGGGCTGTCGGGGCTGTGTAGCCGCCGGGGCCCACCGACTGTATCGTCCTTGGACACAGGCTGCTGGGAATGGAAACTCCTGCACACCACAGACGGCTTGCATACGTTTCTTCCTGTTCTTGTCCATGTTAACGTGTGCCTCACTGTTGGGCAGACGACAGAAGCTTCCGCACCACGTCTGACCGCGCATTGTGCAGCAGCACAGACCGCCGAAATGGTGTCCTTCTGCATGTACACACAGGGGTCAATGGATGGCCATGAGTGCGCATGGGTTTGTCGTCCAATTGTGCATGTACCCATACGACGTGTCTTGGTCCCACGCTGCAGACGAATCGCGGTTGATGACGTCGCTGAAACACACAAACAAGGGAAGGACATGATGACTGCACCCAATTGATGCAATCAATGCAATCAGCGTCCGCCTTTTATGGTTGTTGTCGGTACTTGAAGCACTCCCTGGTGTTGATGTTGAGCGCCTCCTGCCGTGCCGTCAGGCCACTGTTGTTCTTGATCTGCACAGATACCACACCATCGCACCAGGCGATGACATGATGTGACCTGCACAACATTATCACCTGCCCGATCACTCACTCTGTAGTCGCTGCCATGGCTGAGCAGCAGCCTCACAACACGGCCGTGGCCTGATCGTGGGATTAAGGAAATCAGCGGAGGAGAGAATCATGCGAATGTCGACCGATGGCGTGAGGCGGTGTCTTTACCTCCTGAGGAGGCGAGGTGCAGTGGCGTGGCGCCAAAGGCATCCTGACAGTCGAGCGTCGCTCGCCATCGACCCACCAGGGATCGCACACACTCCATATGACCCCTACACACAAATCATCATACATACATGCTTGGGCAGCGTTCGGCGATCCCCTCGCTCATTCACCCTTCCCCACCCTTACTGCATAGCTGCCAGGTGCAGCGCCGTCCTCCCCTGGTCGCTTGTTGGATTGGGATCCTGCACCACCTCCATTATCAGATCGATGCACGCCGAGTGGCCTGAGCGTCCCATGATTGTGGACGAATGAACAACCACAGGCCATATTTTGCCGGAAAGCTCCCGTGGCTGGCGTACCTGCATGTGCTGCGAGGTGAAGAGCAGTCCATCCGTTGAGTGACCGGCTGTTGACGTCATAAGGGGGGCGATCGATCTCAGCGAGAGAAGGAGGGCTCATTACCGACGCAATGATCTACAGAAGAGTGGGTATGGATGGATCAGACAGCACCACTGGTAAGCTTGCCCATCCAGCCACTGCCTACCTGTGTCATTGCGTCGACATCTCCCATCTCAGCGGCGTTCCAGAGCTCAGCATCCTTTCTTCTCTTCTCCCGCCACCTAACACACGCAGACCAACGCACGTACGCACGTGCGTATGTAACCGACTGACTCGCGGGGTGGACCAGCATACCCACCAGTTTTCCCATGGTTTCGCAGCCGTCCTCGGCCGGTCCCCTGATGCAAGGCTGGTATCAGATGGGACGGCATGAAGGCTGGGACTGCTCGCTGATGGCGCCACAGCATCTACCGCACCCGGCGAAGACAGGTCCCAGCTCTCCACTGTGGATAAACAAACATCGAGAGAGAAAAGATTGATGGACATCGGATTTGTCTGCGAGGTTCTTACTTGTGTCCAGATTGCGGACAACGCACTGAGATGAACCCAAACCCGTCATGAGCACCTGAGGCAGGGACACAAATAACAAACACGCTTGTGCTTAATCTCTGAATCGAGCTGTGAATGTGTCTGCTTACTTCTGACTCATCCATTCGAAACGCTTTCCTCCATTCTCGTATCCTTTCCTCTCACCGTCTGCGAGCTTATCTCGCGATCCCCCCCTGCGGGTGCGCATTCCCCCCCTTGAGTCCACTACGCAGCCCCACTGAAAGACCCTTGGAATTTCGAGCGAGGATGGATGAGAGGAAGGCATCGGCTTTGAGCAAGTATGGAGGAAGAGCAAGGAGGAAGAGCTCCGTGGCGGCCATGGCAAGCTTGTTCGGCCTCAGCGCCGACAGGGAGGTCCTCAAACTGCTGCAGCAGTGGGACACCGACGGCGACGGCGTGGTAAGCCTCGAGGAGTGTGCTGCAGCAGCTCGGTATTTAACGACGGACAAAGGAGAGGCCATTTCATCGGCTGTATCTCCTCCAATACGCCATGTCTACCCTGTTTGCAGCACTTTGCTGGCAACCAAGACGTCTCGCAGGCGATGGAGCGTGACGCTGGGCGTGCTGTTCGGCCTCTACTGCGTCTCCATCGGTGCGCAAAAGTGAACATATTGCACTTGACTTCGATTGCCTCTTGGCCGGCATTCAGGCGTTCTTTTCGGCCTCTGTGTCTGGGCCAACAAAGGTGTGCACCCAGCCGAGCCCCATTCCATTGATGTGTGGCCATGGATGTATCGATGCTGGCAGTGTCTCGAGACGTGAAGGTAGAGGACTCGCAGCTTGTGTCAACCGACAACCAACCCATCAGTCAGTCAGTGAGCATACCAAAGCCAGTCGCCCATCCATACATACGACTATCAGCCCACACCAGCCACAACGCTCTCGCCATGTTCTGTTTGCTCAGGCATCCTTGACGCCACGACAGACATCGAGCTCTTCGACCTGCTGGACATGCCACTGACCAAGCTTCGCAAGATGAACCGGCTATACTTTGCCCTGCCTGACACGAAAGAACGGGCCATATACACGGTCAGAGCCGCCACAGATGCACACATGCGGAGACTAAGTATGTCGTAACTGCTTGTCTCGTCTTCGCAGGTCACGAGTGTGAAGCGCGGTGTGCTCCAGCAGGGCACCCGCCAGGCGACCATCGGCCTATGCAGAGACAAGATGGAGGTCTCGCCAGGTGCGTCTATCAAATCATGTGACCCATTCAATCGAGACACGCGTTCGAATGTATGCAGCATTCGCCACTCTGCATCGGCCTGGTCACGAGCCGATGATCATCGCCGACCGCATTAAAGACGGACGTATCCGGCAGGAGAGCAGGGGACAGGCAGAGGGGGGCACACAGAGAGAACGACGCCTGCAGACCACCAGCAGCTCTTCTCCTTGTCGGTACAGCACCGAGTTCCCGACGAACTACATCTATCTGAGCAGCGAGTTGGGACCTATGAGATGACACATGCGCTTAGATATATGTGACAATAATTGATAATTGGCTGGCCACCATGTTCCACCCCATGTCTCTGTCAGAAGCTAATCAAATTGGTTGATACTGCTGACCGTTTACTGCAGAACAGGCCGCTGTTGGCCCTCACATCAAGCACATATGTACATATGTGCGAACAAGAGTGGCGAATTTTGTGATTTGTCTAAACCAGTGCGGCGAATTTTGTGCGCTGATAGATGTATGTGACACAGATATGCTTTTATCACTGGCTGCTGTTGGGTGCTTGCACAGGGGTTGCCGCTGCTCATGTCTTCGTGTCATGCTCATGTTTCCCTCTCTCTTTTCTAGGCCATGTCCACTTAGAGTGTGGCTGAGCTCGCTCAACAAAGTGAGGGCTTTGAGGATGCCGCGTGCACAAAGCGTAGACTGACATATGTGGCCAGTTGATACACGGATGAATATGATATTACATTCAGGATGTCTTGATGTGTGGTGCAAACACTGAGCGCCATGTGCGTTGATGCAGAGTGTCTACCGGACAAAACGTAAGCTGTGTCTCTGCAGCGCTTCGCAAGCCTAAATCTGAATGCATACACTACAAAATTCTACCTACCGCAGCTATACAACGACTACATCGTACTGAATTATTGCCTCTGGCAGCTTATCACCAATACAGCAATAAAAGACCGACGGACCAATGGAAAAACACCAACACCTTTCTCACGAGGCGGCAATGCAGATTTGATTGCACCGCTTCATTGCAAAACAGCTACTGAATGTGGCGTGAGAGAAAATTATCTGACCCCTCAGCTGAACCCGCCTCCTGCTCGCATTGCTCGCAGCGCCCGCCACATGCATGATGAAGGCAGGCGTCTCTTCAATGTAAGCCTCCTCGGGTTGGGGAGTCCACTTCGTAGCATTGATGCCCATAGGTCTTGTAACCGTCGTGCTCAGCGGCGCTGCGATTCGCGCAACGAGCCGTCCTTTTCCCAGATCAGCAATCTCAGTCGCATTCCTTGTCACCGTAGCTGTCTCGCCTGTGTGGTCCGAGGCCAAGCAGGGGCACTGAAAGGGGATCGCTTGGGGTGGGGGGATTGCCTGCACAGAGAAAAGAGACACCAACATGACACATACGTGCTGGCTGTGGTGTTTGCCGACCCTGTAGGGCCTTTGTGTCTGCAGAGCATGGTTTGGTAGGATACTGATGTGTCGGGCGACATGTGGATCCACGAGGGAAAGACAATCATCACCTGACACACAGATACAAAGGGCCAGCATACATGTGAATTCGTGCGCCGTGCTCTGTCCACTTGCTACCGTGGCATTCTCCGAGGCATGGCGTCATGTCTCCTCTGCACGCTTCGCGTGAGTAGCGATCAAGCAGGGCAAAATTGACATACACCTGCTCACCCTGCAATGAAAGGACGCACGCAGAAACCGGCAGCATTCGACGCGATGACCACAGAAGCTCTGTTTGTACCGGCAGCATTCCCGGACCTTTCGGTGCTGGCATTCGCTCCATTGTCTGCACATCCTCAGGAACGCCGAATAGAAGCATGTGGCTTGTGCAATTGTTTCGGTCTGTCTGTCTGTCCGTCTGTCTGATCACCTTCAAGACGGTCTCCAGAAACGTCCTCGAGAACAGTGTATTCTTGAAGATCATTACCCCAGTGTTGACCAACCATTCCGTCACATCCTTCGTGAATATGACGTCCTTGGAATAATGCTCATGAAGCACCGCCTCAAGCGTCCTTGAACAGTCGATGAAGAGCGTGTCGCTGTCCTTCCACATGACGTACTCGTGCTGAGACTCAAGCAGCAGCTGCCGCACGAGCTGCAGCTTCGCCTTGTAGCGGCCTGAAATGGGACAAGAGAGAATGCTTCCTTCAGGATTGAGCGCCAGCGCAAAGTGACTGACCTCTATTCCTGACAAGCAAGCACAAAATCCTACGTAACCCGCATCCAATGGTGCTTGTCGCTCTCACTCACTTCGCTGTGACATTTTCGTTGACAACTGTGATGCTTCTGTAGCCGTGAAGCTCAGCATACCTGCGCACGGACAACGAATTGGTTTCCAGTAGAGAGAAAGTCAATCAATGTAGCGTATACATACATTTGTTGGTTCTCGAAGACCACATCCAGATAACGTGGCTTGGTCCCGAATGCAGCCGTGACGATGGCGACCTTTGCCGAAGGGCCAGCGTGAACAGAACGGTTCCCACTCGTGCTGCATACAGAAAGAGGCAAACATGGGCGATCGAGACTTCTTTGTTTGTAGCGATGCAGGGCTCACTTACCAATCACTGGGCAGGTCTGCTGAGTCAGTATCGCCTGCACCTCGCCACACGCTGACCTGCACAACACACGCACACAAGCAGAACGAAGTGTGTACGGAGCCGTCCCCTGCTTCTGCTGGCTGCGTCACCTCCCTTGCACCTGTGTGCACTTGTCTGCGAGTGTGAACTTGCTCCAGGCCCTTCTTCTCAACCAGTCAAGCAGGAGGAGGGTTGAGCATGACAGGAGCGCCACCTGTACCAAAGAGGTCGCCAGTAGGAGCGCCAGACAAACTGGTTTGGCAGATGACTGCATCGGAACAGATGCGCCAAGTACGTCCTCTGGGCGGCGCAGCCGCTGCGCCGGCACTTATGGGTAGGTAACACGTGAAACATTGAACACGTGAAACGTTTGAATTGTCGATACGTTTCACTGAAACAAACAAAATCACCGTCCTCCTTACAGGATTTGAAGTGCAGGCAAGCTCAACATCATTCTTCCCGAGGGAAGAAAGCCAGGCCCTCAGCAGCCCCCATTGCAGAGTCGCATCCTCAGCATGTCAGAGGCCGCTGCACAAATCGGGGATGTGTCCAGCAGCCTCGCCTTTGACTATCTCGACAAACTCTACAAGGATGGAAAAATCAGCAAGGCGCAGTAAGCAACCAAGAGAGAGTGAGAGAGAAAGAGGTCACACAGTCAAGCACAATGCTGGGGAACTGTGAGTGTATGATGTGTGTGTGTGCTCGCCCTGTTTGTGGTCGTGTTTGCACTGCAGTGCCGACTTGTACAAACAGAAGTACGCCAAGCTGCACCAGCATGTGGTGCAGACACTCGAGAACGAGAAGAGCTTCCTCAGGCGGACAAAGGAGCTGCACCAACAACTCATGGCGGAGAAGATCCGCATCGAAAAGACCACCATGGAGCAGGCCGAGAACGCCGGGACCATCACGCAGCTGCGGGAGCAACTCAGAAAGGTGGGTGGGACTGGGGCGGGTCGGTCGCTGTCGTGCCGTTGCGATGATTCTTGTATCTGTGTGACGGTCCTTGATTTGCAGAAGCAGGGCGAGGTTGACCAGATGCAGGAGTGGGAGGCAATGCTGCAGGCCCAGATAGCCGAGTGTGAGAACGAAAAAGCGGAGCTGCAAGAGGTGCTCATAAAGAAAGCCACAATCGCGATTGACCCACTGCCCACACATGATGTGTTTTCTGCTGGTGCAGCAAATCGACGAGAAGCAGCGTCAAGAGGAGGCGGCGCAGCTGCCTGTCATCGAGAAGCTCAAAGCCGAAATCGACTTGCTAGAGGTAAGACATTTGCTCAAGAGGAATTCTTCCATCAATGCAATAGAATCCATTTTATCCCGGGTTGCGAAGAAAGAGATCGCCATGCAGAAACAGCAGAAAGGTACGACGTGCCTATGTGGGAAGAGGCCGATATTGTTTTCGCCGCTTGTCCACAGAGAGACACCAAGAACAGGAGGAGCATCTCTCCGAGCAAGTCAGCCACCTGGAGCAACAACTCGACGTGAGACAACTGTGGAGAGCACAACGAAGCGTACTCTCAATGACCTCTTTGTTTTGCTGTCGATAAGGCCGACCACTTTGAGAAGGATGCCTTGGAGACAGAATACCGCAAGATTGCGGCCGACCCTGAAAGGATACGGTAAGATGTAGTCGCGATTCTGACGCCAACGTCCGGTGCTCACGCTCCTGTGCGTGCAGGAAGCAGGGCAACAAGTTTGGCAGTGCCTTGAAATCCCTCACGCATCAGCTGGAGACTGTCACACATGTAGCGACATACGTCAGACCGGAGCGTATGTCGCACTTCATATGCTCGCTGGTGTCTGCGTGCGTCCGTCCGTCAGGACATCGAGACAGCCAACGCGACCCTCGCCACACTGGAGGAAAAGAGGAAAGTACGACGACAAGAGCAACAAATTTGGCACGCCTTTTCTACGGATGCCTCTCGTCTTTTCAGGCGATCGATGAGTCCGTGCAGGACAAGGACCTGCAGGTGCAGTGGGACAGAGACGAAGTGCTCAGGTATACAGCTGCAAGCAACGGGCGTATGCATGGGATACACACGCGATGGCGATCCTCTCTTCAGGAAGGAACAGAACATGAGGGAGGTCCTCGCCAAACTCGAAGGGGCAAAGGTGAGCTAAACATCCCCTAGAAGTTTATCAGTACATTCCTGGGTGTACGATATGAATGTATGCGTGACACTACCAGTACGAGACGGTTTCTGCGCTCGAGAGGCGGACAGAGTTGGAGTTATCACTAAAGGAGACCAATCTTGAGGTGAGACACGGCGATGGAAGCAGGCTGCAACATTGTCTCAATCTCGCCATTCCTTTACCAGATCCGCGTCTTGGCGGATGAGACAATGCAGAAGACCAAGAGCGTCGACAGGGCAAGAAGGTGCAAGGACCGAAAGTGCACACAAACATCCACACACCAACCTCACCTGGCTTCTGTGCGAACCCAGGGATTTGAAAAAGCGTGAGAACATCGTTCACTCGATCAAAGACGGCATCGTCAACATAGAGACCAACAAGGTGACTCATACGGATGGCATGCCCATGTTCTTTGTCGGTGAGACAAGTGCCGATGTTCTGGTGCAGTCTGATGATGAACGTGAGGGCAAGCAGCTGGAGCAGGATATTGCCAGACAGAAGACACTGGTGCGCTTGTCTAACAACCATCAAAACTGCAGGCACCATGCATTTGTTTCCTCTCAGCTGACAGAGATCCAGGCCGAGGTCGAGCTCTTCATCGGCGCATTTCTTAAACAAGTGCAGGAGAGACACGAGCATACTTTTGTGTCTTACGTAACTGCTTTCCTTGCTGTTGTATGTGAACAGGAGTCGATTGAGAAGGAGAAGAAGGAAGAGCTAGACTTCATTGTAAGCACCAGAACACTGTTTCGATCGGTTCTCGCGCTAAATCAATTGATGTGATGTCATCCGCTGCTCAGGTCAAGAGGATCTCTGAGGGTCAGCAGGACCTACAGGACATGAAGAAGCAAGAGGCGCAGTGGACGGAACACTTTCAGTTCCTCACACAACAAAGGGAAAAAATGGTGAGCAGTGGCCATTCGCTCACCAGACTCCTGTCTCATGAATGGTTGGCTGTCGCCTATAGGCCCGCGAGAGCTCCGTCGCCATCCGCCTGGCACGGGAGACATGGGCAGATGTGCAGATGAAAGTAAGAGAGTCTTTGCTGTATGCATGTATCCCTGCGCACCTCTCCCTCTCTGCGCAGATGCTGGAGGAGAACGATCTCAGAAAGAAGCTGTCAGAGACCTCTCAGCGGCAGAAGGACTACTGCACGCTGTATGAGGTGGTCAAGAACGAGCGCAACAAGTACGTGACCCACATACAGGCTGCCGAGCAGCAAATCGCCGAGATGAAGGAGCGACATAAAATCCTCCAGAACGAAGTGGAAATCCTTAAGATGGAGTCGCAGGGCAAGGACAGAGCACTCTCGGTAGGATCGAGTACGTATGTTTCCTATCTGCTTACTTTTCGCCCATTTTGCGTGTCCCAGAAAACGAGGATGGAGACGCAAAAGCAGCGCGAAGAGCGCGACCGTCTTCGAGCCGAATACTCAAGGGTATCCGGCAAGGCGGCCGCACTCAACGGTACGACCGAGCGACAACCCCTGCATCCATTCTTGTGTCCATTGTGCAATGTGTGTGTGTGGTCAGAGGAGGTTGAGCAGTACGTGGTCGAGATCGACAAGCTGAACTCCATCATCAACGCCATCGAGAAGGGAATGATACAGCTCAAAAGAAACTATGAGGTCAACCAACACGAGCTTTCCGGACCGGAAGGTGCAAAAGCACACGTCTCCTGTGGCATCCCTACAGGCAGCTGTTGAGGGCCGCAACTTCACAGGCATCCAGCTCATTGACAGGTAGAGTCTCACGATCTGATTGCTCCCAAAGTTGTGTCTGACACTCTTTGCATGACACGTTTCAGGAATGACGAGCTCTGCATTCTGTGGGAGAAGGCCAATATGCAAGGTAGACAGATGTCCTCACTTTTTGTCAACAGTGGCCATGCACACGCAACATTTTCTGGCCAGAGCGTCTTCTCAAGAAGGGCCGCGATGCTCAGCTCCAAAAAGATGAGGTGGGACATTCACATACTGATACCCTCCGCACATCCCTCTCTACTTTTCCGCCTTTGTCCACAGGAGCTGCGCATCCTGAAGATCGACATGGCTGAGATCCAGAGACAGCTGCAAACAGAGCTCAAGAAGATCCCGCAGGTGCCGTTCCTCGCTAAAGAGGCCACGGAGCTACGGGAACAGGTGAGAACAAAGCCGTAAATGGACCGATCGGAGATTGACCATTTTCTGGCTGTGCGATGGATAGCTTGTGGATGAGAAGAGGAAAACGGACCAGCTCAGCCTGGAATTCGGTACGCTGTGCAACGTCCAAAATTGCTCGCCGTCCAAAGTGCTGTCTGTGTATTTTCAGAGGACCCCACGTCGCAGCAAAGGAAATGGAGGCAGCTGGAGGGGTGAGAAAAATAAATGAACAGACTTCGTGTGTCTCGTCGGCAACGCATCCCTGCATCTTTGTGTGCGTATCGTCAGTGACGATGCGGACACCGAGACGCTGACGGCCAAACTTCAGTGGCTGGAGGAACGGCTAAACGAGAAGAAGGTGAGCAGACGCGAGAAAGCCGCGAGGGGTGGAGACTGCAACCATGCTCATAGCTGTGTCCATCGCGTGTGCGATCAGGAGAAGCTCTTGGAGAAGGAGCTGGTGTTTGACGAGATATCTGCCTTCTCAGAAAAGCTTAGGCTGCAGGCAGTCGATGGCCGCAGCGACACGCTGGAGCTGTCACACAAGGTGAGCGAAGTGACGGACACGGCGAGTCGTCGAACAGACAGAAAGACCGTTTCCATATGCCTGGCTGTCTCTCTTTAAACTAGGTCAATCTGTTCCAAACTCGGCTGAAGGAGCTGACCAAGAAGATGATGGCCATCGTGTCTGAGCTCTCCATGTACCAGGTCAAAACACGACATTGCCACAGAGAGAGAGATACACCACCGTGTATCTAATGGGTCAATAGGCGATGGCTTTGAAGCTTCAGCTGGAGAGGGATGAGATTCAGGGCAGAGTGGACAGCGCCAGGCTCAACATGAGTGAGGGCAGGCGGCCAACGCCACACGCCGACATCGAATTCACCAAAATGATCATCGTCGAGGACAGAAAGGTCTAACAAGGCGGACGGAACCGTCGGGCTGATGGTCTCCATCCTGTGCGGGTCTGTGCGGTGTGCAGGTCGCTGAAGCAGAGGCAGCCCGGTCACGGAAGCAGGAGGAGGAGATGCTCACTGCAAACGTCACCAAGTGAGAAGGGGAGAGAAACCCGTGTGCCGCATCATGTCTCACCATTTCGTGCGTCGTCAGGACGACTGCGGAGCCCCGTGTGAATGCCTACATCCCTGAAGGGGAGATGGGCCTGCCAAAGGCTTACGGTGGGCTACCCGATGTGCTGACACGTTGTTTGCTTGAGTCTGAGAGCACCATTGTCTTGTTGGTGTCTGTCAGGTGTTCACGCGCCCTTCATGCCATCGGAGCAGGGCTCTTCCATGAGACACACAAGGAAGCCAAACCCAAGGCAAGATGCCTCTTGCAAAAACCGGCTTGCAAGACACACGTGCGCTTTGGCCACTGTGTGTGCTCAGGCCCATTGAGATTTGAGGATGTATCTTTGCTTATTCGGTCCTTTCTGTAGCGATATTTGTCCGCGGCATTGGTGCGGCTTCGCGCCCCTGTGTGCATGTACTGTCTATGTGTCCCTATTTGTCACTATGCTGCCGAGTGGCAGGCCTCTCAGTTTTCTTCTTCTGCTACCTCTGTGTACAGACAGACTTCTCTGGATACACGAACACACCCTACTCAAAAGTAGATACGGAAGCCATCGATGCATCACAATCGCTTTGTACGACAGAAGGCCATCAATAAACAATCGTGTACCCTCACTCTCCTCTTCTTCAGCCTGCCTGCTCAATGCTTCCATCCTCCATTCTGATCCACGTGCGCATCGTCGGCCGATCGGCTGACAGATCGATACGCTGCATCCTCGCTCCTCTCGCCCACACCTTCCCGTACCCGCCATAGCCACTCCGGCGCCCGAAGCACAGCATCACGGGGTCAGAGGCACTGCTGCTGCGTGTGGGTGCGGGACAGCAGAAATCGCTGCCGTGCATGTGACCGACAAATATGTACTGGATGTGCGCCGCCACTGCCGCATCAAACACCCCTGTGTCCTCCTTGGTCGGATGCACTGTGTCGTTCATCCAACCCACACATCTGCACAGAGCACAGGGAACACGCGGATGTCGGCGTGTGTGTTTTGGCTGTCAGTGGTTTTGTGACCTTGATCGTGATTCTGGTACAGCGGGATTGTATTGGAGGTACTCGTGAGACGGAATGTGCATGTACAGAAAGGCCGGCAGCACGCCGTACCTCTCCTTCAGCTGTCGTGCCTTTGCTGAGAACCACCTCACTTGATCCTCCTGCATCCATCGACAAAGCACTGTGTCACTCCACGTCATGTGCGCATTTCTCTCCCACCGTACGCACCCGTATGATCTCCCGAATCGATCCACCGCCGCTGTCAAGAAACCACAAGAGAGCTGCCGGCTGACCCCTTGCAGCATCCTCGTCACTCCTGTACACCTCCAGCATATAATTGGTGACTCCACCGCCCATGCGGCTGACAAACATCGACCCAGTGAGGGACCCAGGCAGCGACATATCGTAGTGGAGCAGGGCCATCCGGCGGGAGAGGTCATCTTGAGGCGGGGGATCACGGTGCAAGTCGTCGTGATTGCCGAATACCACTGCATGCCTGATGCGCCTCTCGAGTGTGGGTGCCATTGCCTGGTCCCAGAACTGAGTGGCGTTGTCCCGCCAGACGTGCAGGATGTCGCCAGAGAACACCACTAAGTCAGGCCGTTCCAGCGAAAGCAGTCGCTGCATCGCGCGAGTTGACTTCGCATCCTGCGCAAAGCCTCGTGCATCAAGACTCTCGCCGTAATGCAAATCTACCCGACACCCAAACAAGAACGTCGATTGTCTCTGTGTGTTACTGCTGGTGCGTCCTCCCACCTGTGATTTGCATGATTGTGAAAGTGTTGTTTCGCGCGACCAGAGAATGCCCGGGTGTCGCTTGCAACCTAATGGATGCGGCCCTCGTGAGGAACACGGCGAGGCCGAGGAATGGAGTGAGTAGCGCCCTTGCCGCGTAGTGAGTCATCTCTCGCCACTGCCACAAGTACATACAAACACAAGATCGAAGCTGTGTCAGTCATCGCAAGCTGCCAGCATACCTGTCTGCGTGGGATCTGGCTGCGGCGTGTGTCACAAAACAGACACATCATCCACGGCTCCATCGAACAAAGTGAGTGTCAGCACGTACCGACTTCAGAGCGTAGGGTGCGTGCGCTGCTGAATGCGTTTCAGGCTGGGAAACAGCGAAACCCGATGCCAAGCTCGCAGTTGGATCGAGCAGGGATCGAATTTGAGTCGTCAGCGAATCAGGCAAATTCATTTTCGGCTTTTGCTCGATGGATACGTCGCCTGTGCAGTCGCCCGTAGGCTGATTGAAGAAAAAGTGGACGAACGACGCTGCGGGACAACCGGCAACACGATCGACGTGTGACGTCACCCTCTCACTCCAGTATCTGAGAGTCACGGCCTTCTCGGAGGGCGTTGCGCTGCCTTGAGGCTTTGTGTCGGCTGAGAAAAGATAAAGTCGGCGTTGTTCTCGTCGTGTACGTGTGGGTGTAGCCGATGAGGCTCGCTGTGCAGAACCTGCCCTCCAATGACCTCTCATACACCAACTGCGTCAGCACCAAAGCAGCGGCTTTCGTTGCTTCTCTTTTCCTACACTCCCGTCTTGTCTGCCTGTCTGTCTGTCTGTCAGGTGTACGTCCACCCGGATGACTACAGCCAGTTGGTGTCTAGTGTGCGGGGCGGCGACCCGCAGTGCCTCCGAGTCAACCTCAAAACCTGCGTCATCAACTGCAGGTGGGTGGGTTTGTGTGTGTTTTCCTGCCACAATGGAGGGAGGTGTCACTCACTGGTGTCTGTCGTGGTGTGGTGTCGTTCAGGTCTGACAACAGGGTGCAGCAGGGGGAGATAGGCGTCAACAGGATGGTCAGGGGACACCTCAGGCTCGCCACCAAAGATGAGCAGGAAGTCACAGGTACATATATAGACGGGCGCCTGAATCAATGAGGGGGCGGAAAACAAAACACAGGGAATGTAACTTGCCTGACGACACGACCGGGTCGTGGCGGTGTCCGTGTGTGTGTGTATGTCAGCGTATGTGGCTGCGCGTGACAACATTCTTGTCGGAGTGGGCAACTTCCAGGTCGACCTCTTCACCAAAAGTAAGATGGATAAGATCCATCAACACACACCGAGAGAGAGTCTGTCTGTCTGTCTGTCTGGGGTGTGGGTGTGTGTAGGTGAGAAGCTGGTCATCGAGGACACCGAGCTGGAGGACGAGCTCAAACAGTCCCTCAACGGACACGTACGTCAGTGAGCAAGCTAAGCCACTCACACACACCGCCTTTCTCATTTATTTGTCCCTCCCTTGTTTGGTCGAGCGTCACATCACGTCAGGTGGTGACCATCGGTCAGCCGATCATCATTAACTGGCAGAAGAAGATACTCGTCCTCACGACCGGCGAGCTCCAGCAGCTCGACGTCGGTATCGGCGAGAACAAAGCCCTCAACAAGCCTCAGTCGAGGCGTCACGCACGTAATGAGGATGGATGTCGGCGCAAGAGGGGACGATGGTCCATGCACTGTCTGTCTGTGTGTGTGTGTGTGTGTGTGTGCGTGTGTGTGTATGTGTTTGCGCAGCAATGCATCACGGCATGCTGACCGACGGCACAGAGGTACTAGGGCATCTATGGTGCACGTGGCAGGTCTTGTGTGGACTGGTGGCGGCTTGCTCAGTATACCTTCAGAGCCGACGGAGAGGGCCGCGTGCGCATCAACAGCAGAAGAGCTACAGCGGTGAGGAGGGAGGGCCTCACGTATTCACCCACTCGCGGGCCCCGCCCATAAGAAGTATTTTCTGGTTTTGCGTGCCGGTTGCCTCCATGTTTGTCTGTCTGCCTGTCTGTCTCTCAGCGTAGCATCTTCCGTCCGGACTTCAACTTTGAGGAGCTGGGCATCGGAGGACTCGACAAGGTCTGTCCGCCACAGTCGACATGCACATCAACGAGGACTGCCTGCCTGCATCGTCCCTCTATTTCGCTTCCACCTCTCCCCTCTCTCCCTCTCTCCCTCTCCCTCCCTCCCTCTCTCTCTCTGTCTCTCACATGTCATTCATGTCAGGAGTTTGCCAACATTTTTCGTCGGGCCTTTGCTTCCCGCGTATTCCCGCCTGCAATAATCGAGGACCTGGGAATCAACCACGTCAAGGGTCGGTGGGAGGGAGGAGGGATGGGAAGACACAACCAGTGCACACGCAGAGGGAGGGAGGGAGGGATGGATGGATGTGTTGTGTGTCGTTGGTCGGTAGGCATGTTGCTGTACGGCCCCCCTGGGACGGGCAAGACCCTCATTGCACGGTCAGTCAGAGGAGCTAAAAGGCCCGCCTGCGTGTTTGTCGTTCCAAAGTGACTCCTTCCTTGTCTGTCTGTGTCTCCAGGCAGATCGGCCAGTGCCTAAGAGCGCGGGAGCCGAAGGTGACTCAACGAATGGATGAAACGACACACACGTAAATGGATGTGTGTGTGTGTGTGGTTTGTTGTGTTGTGTTGTGTTCTTTGGGTTGTGGCAGATAGTGAACGGCCCCGAGGTGCTGAACAAGTATGTGGGCCAGTCGGAGGAGAACATCAGGAACCTCTTCAAAGAGGCAGAAGACGAATACAAAAAGGTGGGTGGGTAGGTGGGTACACACGCACGCACGCACGCGACACACAGCAGTCCAGTCCACACACGAGAGGTGGGTCATCTGTGCTGTGCTGTGCTGTGGTGCTGTGTTATCTACCTCTGATCAGCTGGGCGAGGGCTCTCAGCTGCACATTATCATCTTTGACGAGATCGACGCCATCTGCAAGACGCGAGGCAGCACCAGAGACAGCACGGTACCTACCTGGCTGACTGGCTGGCTGAGTCAGTCGGTGGCTGGGTGTCTGCCATCCACCTCTCTCTCTCTCTGTGTGTGTGTGTGTCAGGGTGTGAGCGACAGCATTGTCAACCAGCTGCTGTCGAAAATCGACGGCGTGGACGCTCTCAACAACATCCTGGTATGTGTGTATGGTATGGTAGCGCACCGTTTTCGATGCCGCATCGTGTCGTGTGTATGCGAGTGTGGGTGTGTGTGTATGTGTGCAGTTGATAGGCATGACGAATCGTTTCGACATGCTGGACGAGGCGCTGCTGCGGCCTGGTCGTCTGGAGGTGCATGTCGAGATCGGCCTGCCCGACGAGAACGGCCGGGTGCAGATACTCAACATTCACACCAAGAGAATGAGGGACTCCAACAGACTCGAAAATGTCAGGCAGGAGCCAACAAGGCGTTCGTTTCTTTGCCTTGATTGATGTCCTTCCGCTCATATGTTGTGACTGGCTGGCATCCTGCCTGCAGGATGTGTCGTTGCAAGAGCTGGCGACCAGGACAAAGAACTTCTCGGGGGCTGAAATTGAGGTACATACTCACTCTTGCCAGTCTGTTCACTGACTGTGGATGGATGGACCTACCTGGAATTCCATCCCACCCTCCGCCCTCCGCCCCTCTGATAGGGTTTGGTCCGCAGCGCCACTTCCTGGGCGTTCAACCGGAACATCAACGTCCAGGACCTCACCAAACCCAAAGACGTCCAGAACATCAAGGTCACACACACACACACAGACAGAACGATTCATGCATCGCTTTTCCTGAGTGAGTGGCTCGCCGTCTGTCTGTCTGTCTGTCTGTGTGTGTGTCCTCGAGGGTTGCGTGTGTGTGTGCAGGTTGGGCAGGCCGACTTTGACTTGGCATTGAATGAGGTCAAGCCGGCCTTTGGGGTGCAGGAGGACGAGTTCGAAGGTCGGCTTGGCTTGGTCCATGAGCGTAGCGTGCACTGACTGCTGGGTCGATCGTGGTTTGCTGCCAGGTTGTGTGAGCGGCGGCATCATTGACTACGGCCAGGACTTCAAGCGGGTCGAGCAAACGTGCCACACACTGGCTGACCAGGTCAAAAACAGCGAGTCCACCACACTCATGTCAATACTGCTCGAGGGACCCACCGGTGAGGCGACGCGAGGCAGCCGACAGAGAGAGCGCACACACACTGACTGGATTGGATTGTCTGTCGTTGTCACTCAGGTGCTGGCAAGACAGCCTTGGCTGCCCACACGGCCAGGAATGCGGCCTTCCCCTTCATGAAGTTCGTCTCGCCTGAGAACTATGTCGGCTACTCGGTAGGTCAAGCCAAAAGACAGACCCATGCGCTGCACTCCGCACTTGGTGGTCATGTGTGTATGCTTGTCTGTCTGTCTGTCTCTCTGTGTGCTTGCAGGAGGCGTCCCGGTGTGCGGCGATCGCCAAGGTGTTCGATGACGCGTACAAGAGCTCACTCTCAATCAGTGAGCATACATCCCCACACTCAACACACACAGACACTCAATCCATCCATCCACATGACGTATGTGTATGTGTATGTGTGTGTACGTCAGTTGTGTTGGATAACATTGAGAGGCTCATCGACTTCGTCAACATTGGGCCGAGGTGAGCGAGGGAGGAGGGCCGCCCCGCCCCGCCCCGCCCCGCCCCGGGCACATGCACACGCTTCGTCTTTGTTTGTGTCGGTGTGCTTGTCTTGTTGCTGAACATATATTGCGTATGTAGGTTTTCGAACACGGTCCTTCAGGCGCTGATGGTGTTGATCAAGAGGGCGCCCAAGAAGGAGGGCCGCCGGCTGCTCGTCATCGGCACCACCTCACACATCGAATTCCTGCAGGTAGGTCAGTCCAGCCAGCCAGTGTGTAGACTACCCGTTGTTTGTCCATCCAGGTGATGTGTGCATCCGTGACATGAATGCCCTCCTGTCGTGTGTGCATTGCAGAGCGCCGGCCTGGCAGAGTGTTTCCAAGTGAACCTGAGTGTTCCCATGGTCTCATCCCCACAGGAAATAAAGGTAGGTCAGGGTCACACGACAAACAAGACTCCCGCTGTGTCATCCCGACGGACGATTTGTTTGTGTGTCCTGCCTGTTTGTTGTCTGTCTGTCTGCAGACGGTCTTAGACCAGCGGCACAAGGAGAAGCGCGACTTCCCCGAACAAGAAGTCCAAAAGGTCACATCAGCTTCTGTGCTGCACTTGTTCGTCTGTGTGTGTCCATGTGTGTGTGTGTCTGTGTGTGCGTGTGCAGGTGTGTCAGAGCATCCGCAGCCCCATCGGCATCAAGCAGCTGCTGCTCGTCACCGAAATGGCCGCTGAGTTCTGCAGACCTGGTCAGTATGACCAAGTGCAGACGCGAAGCTCGAGCTGACACACACAGCCATTGTGATGCCCTTTGTTGTGCGCTGTGCGTGTTCAGACCCTATCAAATGCAGCAAGTTCCTGGAGTGCCTCACCGACTGTGGCTTCACATGACTGTCTTAACAGCCATGGATAGATAGATGCAACGGGAGGGCGTCATACGGGGGGACAGGACATGTGCAGCTCCATCCGTCCATCCATCCGTCCGTGTGCGTTTGTATGTGTAGAGGGATGACGGTGTGATAGCCTGTGATGTGAGAACCCATGTAGAGCTTTCTGCGTGCCTCACTCTTTCACTCTTTTATCGGTTGGGGAGGGCAATACGATACGTGCAGGGACTCTCTCTGTGGCTGACCGGTGTGAAATCAATCAACCGTGAATGTGTGTGTACGACTTGATTGCTTGCAATGCATGGCGGCGTATTCACAAAGAGGGTTGGTCTATCCATCCATCGCTGTACATGCGCCAACACGACGAGTACTTAGATCCATTGCAGCGCCGTGTATGCGCCTGCGTCTCTCAGCCAATCGAGTCGATGGCTCCCTCCCTCTCTTACTATCTCATCAGTCAGTCTCCACACAACAGCTCCTGCTGCTCCCCGTCTCCCCCTGTGGGCGTCTGCGGCCGCCTCCCACACATCTTCATACGGGCGAGTGCGTCACGCTGCATGTCCTCGATAGCCATCCTCTGCTGCATCCCCTGCTTGCCGAACGGCTCGGGCACCTCCACATACGCCAGAGACGACGCGTCCTTCGGCCACTCGGGGGCCGCCTCGTTCGCCAGGTGGAGGTGAGCTTGCCCCAGCTCCCACGCGACGCGGTCAAAGCACCGACCCACATCGATGTCACACCTGAATGTGTGGAGGTCGTGAGTGAGTGGACAACGAACGAATCGGATTGAATGGCTTGTCTCAGACCACGTGTGCCTTGCCCTGCTCACCTGTATGCTGATGGTCTGATGTCGTCATCGGGGCACATGCGTCGCATCAGCCGCTCACACCAGGCGAACGGCTTCGTCAGTCTACCACCGCTCGATGCGCCACTCGCAGAGGCGGCAGCTGATGGTCCTGCTGCCTCCCTACTGCTCTGTGCATCGCCATCATCGTCGCCGCTCGTATCATCCAGTACTGCCTTGTCGAGGTCGATGTCGAGAAGGTGTGCAGCCGTGTGGATGATGCCGAGTGCGAGAGGGAGGGGGTCAAGGTCCACCACCAGAGAGGTCCGCGCAGATAGGTCGGCCAGCAAGCGGCACGTGGACACGAACCGGTCAACACTGTCGATCTGTGGGTGGGGGGTGGCATCTTCACCACCCGACACAGCATCTGAAGCGAATCAACCCAACCACCCAGAGAGAAGGAGCGCATCAATGGGGGGCCTGGTTGGCCGGCTGCACATCACCTGTGGAATACAAGAACGAACCTGTTTGTGTCTGTGGGACTATCTTGATGAATTGCAGGAGGTATTCTAGTATGGGTTGTGGCGGCCATGTCTTGAATCGCCACTGCAGCACCGCACACAGCCGGTCCTCCATCTTGCCGATCTCCTCGCGCGTCACCGCTACTTCGGGCGGCACGGTGTCGCTAGTGTTGTCAGGTGGTGGGTGTGCCCTGAGGTACTCCTGTGCCAGGAGTGTGAGCTCGTTCTCACGGTGGGACCGGAACTCTGACTTGAGCGCCAGGTTGACACACGCTGCTGCCAACATCTGCACGCACGCAAAGCAGAGAAGCAGCGACAGTCAGTGGGAGGGAGATGGCTTGCGATGGAATGAGTGCATTGACTTGACTGGTGTGCGTGTGTATTGTAAGCCTTTCTGACCACTCGGTCTTGTACGTCTGACGAGAATGCCTGGGCGTGCAGGTATCGGCGCATGAAGATGCATGCCGTCGTTGGGGTGCTGCCCAGCCTGACAACACAACACAACACAACGAGAGACAATGACCAGGGAGACCTCACTGACATCTCTCACATCTCTCAGACTCACTCCTTGCCCTCCCGCTCTCGAAGGATGTGCAGCAGCGTCGCGCACAGGTCGGCCAGCATCATGTGTTGCACCTCGGCATCCTTGTGACCCTCAGCTTCTTGAGCGGCATAGTACGCGTGAGGCGGACCCTGAACAACAGACACAAGACGCCAAGCATTTGGAAGGAAGGGCAGATCAAGAAGATCTGGCTTCAGCCCACCTTCATCGCTGCACCCTCTTGGAAGAGATCACCTCCTCTCCGTGACGAGGAGTTCGGACTTGCGAGCCACGGAGCAGTCTCAGACTGGGGGCCGGTGTCTGATGGCGAACTTGGAAGGAGGTCTTTCTCGGCTTTATAGGCTTGTGGACAAGTGGAACGGCCAGATTGATGACGCCACGTCCTACCAATCCAGCGGCCTCCACCAAGATGCATGGGAACAGCTGCAGGCAGGTCAGACAGAAGAACCCGTGAGAGAGAACCATGAAAGAGCACCACATTTCGTCATCAATTGTGAGGCTTCTTTCTCTGTGTGTGCCTGACTGACTGGACATTCACCACTCAGTTGAGGGCGAAGTGCGGGAGTTTTTCGATCATTTGGCGCACGACGATGACGGGCTGTTTGTGGACTCGTCGATGGTCGTCCCGGCGCGACGCATGGGGTGGCACTGCATGGGGCTGTGCGGCCCTGCCAAGGTCACCTACCAGCAGCAGGGGAAGGAGCAGGGGTCGGTCTTTACGGAGAGCGAGGAGGCGCTTGAGCTTGTGACGGCCCTCTGCAGGAGACTCAACGAAGATGATATCATTCAGGTGGGTCAGAACGAAAGCACCACCAAGGGAACCAACCGGCGACAGACAGACAGGACGGTGGCTGTGCTGTTCTGTTCTGTTCTGTTGTCCCTCTCAGGACATTCGGTATCTCAATCTGGAGCTGGACATCGAGAACGCCGAGTTGGAGAGGAGGGGCACCGCATTTGAGACGCAGAAGCTCGACGATGTCAAAGTGGACATCTGCCACACACCCACCCCCAACGCCAGCACAATGGCGAGCACAGCCCAGACCGGCCGCCTCATCGACATAGCAGCCCCCAGCCCCACTGCCACTGATGCCTCCCCCTTGCACCTCCCACAAGCGCCAGAAATCGACTCTGGCGGGGAGGGTGGAGAGGGCGGGGAGCCGCATCCTCTGTTGGTGGAGCTCAAGTCGATGGTTGCGGAGGTCAACCAATACGTGGACGACGAGAAGGTGACCATGGCCTACTACCACCTGCAGCGGCTCAAGTCCAAGACGGCCAAGATCCTCAAGAAGGAAAGAGACGGCTTCTCCTTCCCCGGGGTGGGGCCTCACCCTGAGCAGAGACGGGGCAGCCACTACAGAAAGACGGGCACCAGCCTCCTGGCGGGCTTCAGCTATGACAACCTCGACGCTGCCCATGCCCATGCCAATGCCACAGCCGCGGACGCATCGCAGGCACATGCAGCACCGGCCGAAGCCCCGCTGCAGATGGGAGATTCAGACGACCGCCTCAAGGCGCCCGTCTACCGACGCCCGACTCACACCGAGGACAGGGCGGCGGTGAATCGGTATCCGACCGAGGAGAGCATCCAGATGTCCTCCAGCCGCCCCTCACTCGTCATGACGCATGCTGACGACGGGCACCGGTCGGCGCGTGTGCGTCGGCAGGCCCTCAACGACCATCTGCAGAGGCTGGTGGGCGTGAGCATTGACGACATGAGGCTGCGGAAGCTCAACCTGCAGTTCAGGAAGGTCGAGAGCGTGGCTGCGATGATCAACAGGAATCTGTCCAAGGACCCCTCGTGGACGTTCGAGAGGCACAGGGCGTACGACTTTTGGTGGCGGATGAACGACGACGGGACGGCTGTGATCAAGATCGAGGGGGTGCTGCACGAGCCCCTCTTCAACATCCTCTGCCTCGTGTACGAGGCCGACCTGCACTCAAAGTCAGTGAGTGGACGCATGAGACACAAAAGACACACTTCACACTTCTTTGTCATGTCAGGTGGGTGCCCTTCCTGGGGAGTTCCGACTTTGTGTGCAACCCGACTCGCTTCTCCGAGATCGTGCTGCACTCCTACTCGCTGCCGTGGCCCCTCAACCACAGAGAGGGGGTGGTCTATGGCTTTGGTGTGGACGCACTCGACGACCCCACATACGGCTGTTGCATGGTGGTGGCCTGGTCAGTGCCAGATGAGAGGTAAGCGCGCCGCCCAGGTGCCACATCACACGGCAGAGGCAGGCTTTTGCATTCACCTGAGGGTCTGTTTCCTCTCGTTTTGTTCCTCGCTCGCAGCACCATGTTTCTTGGCTCGAAGGTGCCGCCTGTGCAAAAGGGTGAGAGAACTCACATACAGCTATAAGAGACGCGAACCGGTTGCCACTCACTGCTGGTCTGTCTTTGTTTTGTGTGTGCGGTGCGTGTGTGTCTCCCTGCCTGACGTAGGAACGATTCGTATGGTGGTGGAGCACTTTGCGTATTTCCTGTACCCCGAGGACGACAAGAACACCCGGGTGCGGTGCATCCTGAAGATCGACCCCAAAGTGAAGTTCCTCCCTCTGGCCATCCAAGCCTACCTCACGCGGACCATCTGCAGCTGGATGTGGGTCAACATCAGCAAGTGCAGCAAGAACTTCAAGGGCAGCCAGTGGGAGAGGAGGATCGCCAAGAGGCCCGAAGTCTACTCGTTCATCGAGAACAGACTCAAGACCTACCTCGGCGGCAAGAACAAGTGAGTGATCCAGGGATGGGGCTCCGAGGGGGCGGACAGACAGCTGGGGGATATTTGTCGTGTGTCAGTGCGTGACGGTTGGTTGCTGGTTCGGCTTGCTTGGTCGGGGCGAGGGAAGCACGTTTTCTGGCCAGTCTGACTGAATGAAGTGGTCGAATGGTGGGTTGGGTGCTTGAGTCCTAGTAAGACAGACACTTGCTCTGCATGCCATTCTCATCACGAGTTTATCCATCTCTCTCCACCGATAAATAATGAATGCATCGTTGCAATCAATTAAGGCATCAAGCAGTTCAGACCGACCAATTGACAGACAGAGGGAAGGAAGGATGTCCAGTGAGAGGATTGATTGCATTGCACCGCACCGGACAGACCGCATATATTGCGTCACGTCACGTCACGTCACACGCACACGTACAGGTAGGTCATTCATTGTGTGATGCCCGCCAGGACGGGGCAGACATTCTGTTTGAGCCAGAGCTCCAGAAAGGCCATGTCCGTTGCGTCGCCTCGCTGCAGATTCACGTGGTACATGAAGTGGTGACGCACCTGCAGGAAACCGAGACAAACAAAGACACGCAGCTACATGACATGCCGTCTGTTTGTGTGGTGTGGTGTGGTGTGTTGGGTGCTGTGTCTGTGCCTGTGTGCATGAGGTACCTGCAGCAGGCCCCTCTGTCTAGCCCTGACATCAGCAAGTGACAGCTCCATCAGCCGCTCCTTGGTCTTGAGCGCGTCGCTCTCAGGTATGAGGACAGCGAGTGCCGTCCAGTCCCAGAAGCACCCCTGCGGCATCCAGTAGTCATCCGCCAGCACCACAGGGATGCACCCGTACCACACCGCCTCCATCAGCCGCGGACTCCACCCGCGAGACCCCCGCGGACACAGACAGAACACCGACTCACGCAGGGCCCTCTCGTAGTCGCCTCTGCTCATCCTGCCCTCCACTATGAGCGCCTCTGGGGTGTCCTGAAGGCTGTCGCGCAAGGCCACCCGCAGCTTGCCCCCGCGGAAGGGCGAGCCCTGGCCGATCTTGCCGGCGAAAAAAACGAGATGCCCTCTGTTGAGTGCTTGCAGCAGGGCGGGGATGCGCGAAGGGCCAGAGGGAAGGGGCGGTGTGTCGTCCGTGGTGCTGCTGGTGCTGGGTGTGGTTGGTGGCGGCTGTGGAACGTCCCTTCTCGCCCTTGCTGCCCGGATGATGTTGCCCGACAGGGATATGGCCACGTCGCGGCGAGGGTTGAAGCTGACGGGTGGATGTTTTGCAGGGTGGATTCAACATACATAGGCTGGCTGACGCTCTCCTTACCGACCTGTATGGAGGCTCGAATGGCACAGTCAGTGGCTCATTCGAGTCCCAATGGTGATACCTCCGCATGTTGAACATCTGTTTGAGTGAGCACACAGAGCCATGCCATCCCCATTTCTGTCCATCAGATCCATCCCTCCCTCCCTCCCTCCCTCCATCCC